GGAAATCACCTCAGCTATTGTGCCGCAATACAAAGACAAGAAAAGGAAAACAAACGGTGGCACGCCCCCTGAGTCCCCAGTAACGTATGGACATCCTTCCGGAGAGCTAACAGCTGGCTGCCGTAAAAGAGAGTCATATTATGCCTAACAAGTGAAATTGTGATTGGAGGGGGATGCTAAGCAGGAGGGGGATGGACAAAGGAACTCACAGCACAAACGCCATTGGGGCCGACTCCAAGCCATATCAGCGAGTGTGTCCAACCAAACGTGTTCACTGTCCTTAGGACCCCAGCCAGGCAGTCGGGATGCACCAACCGACATCAACTTCGAAGTGAGGGTTTTCATTTCTCTCGAACAAGTCATCACTTGGCCTCCTTTCCTCTTCTTCCAACCGCACCCACAACGCGCAAACGATGCACGTCGCGGGAGTCAGTGTGCTGGCATGCGCAACACGTGGCCCAGCCATCGGAGCCTAGTACTTGATATAATGGTGCTGAGCGGTTCACTCGGTCTTCCTGCACCAAATACGCGACGTCGAACACACTCATTGCTCACGCGGTGCTCCCACCAGACATGAGGTAAGCTGCGAAGGCAGCGATGATCGAATATGATGAGCCTGTTTATGTCTGTCGACCTGATGGGCCAGGTTTCACAGCTATATAGGAGAGTTGAACGGATGGCTGCGTTGCAATCTCTGCCCTTCAGGACGAGAGTAATGTCGCGTCTGCGCCACAGGTGGCGGAGATTGGCAAAAGCACCTCGAGCTTTTGCCATACGGTTCGTAACCTCATCTTCAATCCCACGGGTGCTAATATAGCTGCCCAGGTACTTGAATTCCTGAACGACTTCTAGCAGATCACCACCAAGGGTGAGCGCTGGGGTGGGTCCTTGCCAATCTTGGAGAAGTACTTTGCATTTCGATGGAGCAAAGCATAGCCCAAAACGATTGACAGCCAGTGCTGTTTGGCATGTTTGGGAGCTGTCTCAGTTTAGGGCAATATCGTCCGCATACTCCAAGTCAAGAAGTCGCTCACCAGGAAATAGCTCCACACCTAGGTCGTGTCACGCGAATGCTGATACTATGACTTCGTCAACTGCGAAGTTATATAGGGAAGGTGACAGCGAGCAACCTTGTCCCACACCGTTGGTGATAGTGAAGGGTGGCGACAGTTTGTCGTAAACCCTCACGCTGCCCGAACTATGCGCGTAGAGCGCTTTGATAATGTTTACGTACTTATCAAGCACACCATTCATCATTAGACAGTTCCAAAGGGCACATCGATCGAAGGCACCTTTTATGTCAAAAAGCATGACAACGGCGGGTCACCAATAAACATGGCGGTGCTCCAACACTTGACGCAAGGTGAAGATGTGGTCGATGCAGCCCCGACCTCGACGAAATCCGGTTTGCTCTTCACGAATTTGGCTTCCACGAGTGCCAGTCAGTCTGTGGAGAATGACAGAGGCAAGCAATTTAGAGGCAATCGAAATCAGGCTGATCCCTCTGTGATTGCCGCATTCTGAATGGGAGTTTCCCTTAAAAATTGGGACAGTGACGGAGCGGTTCCAGTCTGTCGGGGCTGTCTCCTGCTCCCAAAGTTTTACCAGCAACTCGTGTAAATCATCTACTAGAGCAGATCCCCCGAATTTGAAGAGGGCTGGGGGAATTCTATCTGCCCCTGCGGTCTTATACGATTTCAACAGCCTGATCTCACGTTCGACTTCTGTGCGTGAGGGCGGGTCCAAAGAGACGGCCCAGGGAGAAGGGCGCTCAATGCCCGAAGAAGAAAGCGATAACTCAGGTTGGTTAAACTGCCTTGCAAAGTGTTCAGCCCAACGCTCCAAGCCTTTTGACAGGCTGTGGATCAGCTGCCCACTCTCGTCGCGTATGGTCTCGCTAACACCAGGTTTCCTGCTGCCTCTTTCCCGTATCAGACAGAATAACTTACGATGATTACCAACGGCAGCGGCGGTTTCCATCTCAGAGGCACGATGAGACCACCAGTTTTCGCGATCCTTCTTCAGGCTAGCACGTAGTTTTGCCCTGAGATTTTTGCGAGCCTCATTGTATTCGCTTCCAGTCGGAATACGTCGGTGAGCATCCATAAGTTCCAGAGACTGTGTAGAGACCCAATGTCCAGTTTAGCAATTTGATTTGCTACCTGAAGACATGCCTGCTGATAGTAACGTTTGACGAATATGCGACCAGTGATCTTCAACGGTGTTTAGTGGGCGCTTACTCAGCCCAGATGTCAGCGCACTTTGATACACATTTAGAACATCTGGCTTCGCCAGCTGGCTGGTGTCAATCCGTTCACATCGACGTTGCGGACGTCCACCGAAACGCACCAGGAGGTCGGCACAGACAAGTGCGTGGTCAGAGTCCACGCTCGTGCTCCAAGTCGAGCGACAGTTTTGGACACAGCCTATCCGGCGGTAACTGATCACAATATGATCAATTTGCGTCCATGGCTGGCCCGAGGCTGGTGGCCGCCAAGTCACGCTTTTACGGGTGCTGTGTCACAAGTTAGTGCTCGCGAGAAAGAGGCGAGCATCTTCACAAAGCTGTAGTAATCGCTCACCATTATCTTTACGGGAGGCTACACCATGTTGGCCGCCCAGATGAATCTCATCAGAGGACAATTTTCCGACTTGGGCGTTTAGATCACCAGCCAACACCACAGTATCCGTGCTTCTTCTGTAATGAAGGAGCTCGTGAAGTTACTGACAGAAATAATCTTTTACCGAATCAGTGCTACAGTTTGTAGGGGCGTAGGCCGCAATGACAAACAGGCACCGTTTATCCCCGCGCGACTTCGTAGCTAATCTAACGGCGCACATCCTACTGTTCACTGGGATCCAATCAATCAGGGCAGCTTCAGCCCGGGGACTCAAAACAATGCCGACGCCAGTTTGACCGGCATTTGTAACTGCATCCTCGCCAGACACGCGCTTTGAGAATGTGCCGCCAGTGTCGCATGTGGGGGATCTCAGGGTAAGGACGGAGCTCGAATCTTGCAAGCGGGTTTCTGATAAACAGCAAATATCGATCGATAGGGTCTCTAGTGTTCGATCAAGTGCTGCCTGTTGGCCTATCTGCAGCAAAGTGCGCACGTTGAGGCATGCCAGTCTTAGCGAGACACGAGGACTCTAAAGGGAAATGAATGAACTGAGTTTATCCGCTTGGTTGAACATGGACTTGTCAACTGAATTGGAGCGAGGCCGTGGGATTGTGTGTGATTTGAAATTAGAAGACAAGCGACTATTGAAGTAAGCTGGGAGAGGGCCAAGAACTGAGGCGTTGAAAATGGGGGAATGTAAGTAAAGTTGGAGCGGGACGATAAGGATGAAGCGCAAGAAGGAGTATAAGAAGACGGGAAGGCTTGAGCAGTAGCATCCATATCCCTGTCCACCCTGCTTGATGCAGCAGATATGGCGCCGTTTATTATCCTCTGCGACGGCCAGAGCATCAAGAAATTTTTGTAGGAAATGTTCATTGTATTGCGTGGGCAGAATACTGTCAGGTTGCCCAGACCTAGACAGGAGAACGATTAGGATTCTCAACCAAAGCCTTTGGTTCAAAAATCTTACCGCAAGGCAGCGGATTTTGGAACTGGACTACAGAGCCCGTTTTATGAAATGAGGAGCCACCCCCATTCCAACCCCCAACCTGGATGACCAGGAGGCTGAGTTTGTCTGGCCTCTAACCATTGACCAACCTGGTATGAGTGGCTCTGAAGGTGCAAAAAAAGTACCACCCAGCATAGCCCAATGGATCTCTGAGGCACGCAAACCATCGCACCACGGTAAGGTTCAGCCTCATTGCGATGGATGCCGGAAAATATATTGTGTTTCTTGTAGTCTGGAGCGTTTGAGGATAAGGACGGTATCGTCTACGTAACGTACCCAGAGTTTGGGCTCCACTATTGGCAATGCCTTCTGTTCCAAGCTTTGCATCATTGCTTCCGCTACCAGTCCAGAGATTTTCGATCCCATTGGCGTACCCGTTGTCTGTTTGTCCATTTGACCATTGAAAGTGAAATGTGTGGTGAGACAGATGTCAAGCAACCATCATTTGTGTGGCTTCAGTTCGGTTGCTGGTATTTACCGCTCCGTGTTTTTCAAGCAGAGTCCTCATTGTTTGCTTCGCCTGCATCATGCGTTTCAGCCAGAGGGGGTCAAGTTTGCTTTTTCCACCTCGTTCGAAACTTTCTATTTTCGATGAGGGACCTATTGAGCACTTTGTGCATGTTCGTTGTACATTTTCTTATATAACTCGATTGCGATTTGTGCTGCTGTTCACCATCGAACAGTATTTCAATAGGAGATAAGGGTATTGAATAGGCACAGAGTATTTTAATTTAAATGTTCTAAAAACATTCCAACGCTCTGTCTGTTCTTTACATTTACATAAGCTGCTTGTTCGATGAAGTTACACATGCATGAGCATCTCGGTCCTAGGTCCCGAAACAGTGTAGCATATATCAATTGGCTCATCACAAATGGCCAGACCGCTAAATGTTGTGTCGCATTTGTAAGACATTGCATGACACTTTTCTACTGCAAATAACATTCCCCACTTTGAGCACTAGGTTCCCAGCGCGTAGAGGCCTTGCTGCATCATGGTGGTAGCTTCATTCATGGTATCTGGGTGAAAGGTGTAGACGATTTTGATATCGTCGACCAAAATGTATGGTGTTCCGTCAAAGATATCGCTAACATACAACAATAACAGTAGATGACCAAGGACATTGCCCTGTAATACACCACGTACGGTTGTTGTTGCTTCTGACTTGTGATCTTGAATCTGTACCACCTGCGTATGGTTTGTAGTGTACGATTTAACCTACGGAAGTAAGTGTTTTCTGATTCCATACGACATCGGTGGGGGCGATATGAGCGTATCCTGTTTTTCGAAAATGTAGCCTATATGTTCTCTACCTATATCTCTGAGGTATGCTAAACCACTTTTACAAATTTCGTTTTCTTTTCTGACTACAGCAAAATGTCCAGCAAGTCTTTGATCGTCTGAAAGCAGCTCAGGACTCTTGTACCGCCTCATCTGTACCCAACTCATCTCACATACGATCTTCACGCGCGACTTCTCGTGGTGAGCCTTTGAATGCTTCTGCTAGGTCGCATTCTACTAGCAGAGTGCCTGACATGGACGATATTCACAGTGGCACCAGCAGCAGTAGCAGCGGCGACCAAACCGAGCTCAGACGGCGTCGTCCACCGTGCAACTCGCCCGATTCCTTGACTCGGCGAACCAGGCGAAGCGTTCATTATTCATCTCCGGTAGTCACCTCTCACGCGCAATCCTCTACATTCTTCCCTTCGTCAACATGTTCTGATTGTCCCGCACTTAGTCCCGCCTCCTGGGCTCCCGCACTGCTCTCTGAACTCAAGCGACTTATCTCGAACCCCCGTAGTCTCTTCTTCCGAAATCCGATAGATTTGTCCACCTATCCGGATTACCCCTGCATTGTTAGCTCCCCAATGGACTTATCCACCATCACAAGACACTTGAATACTGTTTTATCCAGTGCCCACCAATGTAGATCTCTCCGATCAATGCCCAAAACTCACTATCGCTGCGCACATGATTGCCTCCGCGATCTGAACTTGATCGTCACCAACTCCAAAAAATATAATACAGATCCGAACACTGCGGTTTATGAAGATACAGTATGGCTTGAAAGTTGGATCACTGAAACATTTGTCCCCTTCATTTCGAACACTTTATCGACAACTCACTCTCCCTCACCGGGGCCAAATCATTCCGAAAGCAGGTCAGTGCGCTCAGCTCGTAGGATGACCCATCGCACTCCTATGCGTCAATCTAACTTGGCCTGTCGTCGACTCGCTTTGAGAAAGGCTCGTTCTCGTTGTATTCGGCAAAGATTGTCTGGATTGAAGGCTGCTACATCGATCGCCCCTGAATCCACAGGTGAGTCGGTCGTTTTGTTACAGTTTCATGCCTTAGCAAAATGAAACCATACCCGGTGTTTGTCCAGTTTTTATTCACCTGGGATGGTCACCTTTTCGCTGCACTTTCGATTATATCTGCGACTTCGACTCATTCGTTTTTCTAACTGCTTCTATAGCCCATAACTACATTCGTGAACTTACTAAATGGTCTGAACCACAGTAAAACTTCCGGACTTTACCGCCTCTGTATCCTGACCCCCTCTCTATATTGACCGCTTTTTCTTCCTTGTTGGAACACTCACCATGTAAACCTTATGAAACCAGACCTCATTATGTGGATCAGCTCTGTATGTTTGCCAATTTATTTTAGTTCCTTAAGTGGTCAACTTACGAAGGTTTTACTGTATTTTCTGGCTGGCGCCAGTCAAACGGTCAGGGCTTGAGTCCTTGTGCGTGATACCAAGAAACGTCGATTGGTTAGAACTCTTATAATCATCCGGAAGCATCAGTGGGTTTCAAGTACTAATGAGCTTGGGGCGATATCAGTTCTATTGAGAACTGGTGATCATTGTCCCTACTCATCCTGGGTGCGTGTCTGAGGAAGTCTCTCTGTTGTTAGGACAATAGTTTTGAAAAATTGGCAGTTACTCCATTCTCAAGCGAATTTACTACTCTGTTGGGCAGAGAATTTTAAACAGCGGCTCAGTAGACCTGCTGTGATACTCCCATTAGCTGAATCGCCTGAACCCACCTCGGAGTTAATGCTATATATCTCACTTTTTAAGGGATCCTGCGCCCTTCATTTTGTGGAACTACGGAGTTGGCTCGTTGGTTCCGGCCTATCCGCTACATTGAATACTATTTGGAACACTAAAGAGTTGTCTTCAGACTGACGACTAACATCTACATGGCCGTCTGCAAAAATGATCAAAGGATTTCGTTTTTTAATCATCGATGCATTGAGTTTATTTCCATCGCATCTAGCCTTCCCACTGCTATCATTCTGTGACGACTGCGCTGGCTGTCGTGAGTGTCGAATCATTGATGGCCACATTGGCCACTCGTATGCACTCTTCGTCAATTGTTTGGGGAGCACGGACGTACGGTGATTTTGCTTGATTTTCGGGGCAATTTTGACTCAACTGAGATGGTGCTAGCTTGTGGTTGTATCAATTATCCTTGGATTGTGTGTCATGGATACTTCTTCCTATGTTGTTATCTCTCAGCCTTAATTCCCGATACCGGGTTACCAATAATGACTCTGCTCTTTCCATCTCTTTTGAAACCCTTCTGATATGTCCTCTGCAAAATGCGGTTATAGAGCCTGGATTGATACCACCGGTTCAGCAAAGAGCCACTGAGAACAATGGATCGGTTCGTTTACCGTAGTAGTTGTGTCACTGATGGTCACATCACTTAGGAGACTACTTCAAGTATTGGCAAAGCCCACATAGTCTTCACCTGTTTCGGTGTTCGGCGAACCGGTCAGTTTGCCTGTAAACATTTTACCACTCGTCGAAAAGACACCATCAGTGCATGCGATTGAGCAATGTCATAGCAAGAGCTTGCGGGAGGCGAATTCGCGTATAGCCGTTTTCTTACATCAACTCGTTGGTATTCCGCTCTGATTTGTTTCGCGCACTTTTCCGTGCGTTCTATTTCATTTTCCGCACCTCTTTTTGTCATTATTCTCCTGACGACCTGAATTGTGTCCACTGAATTCATAGTACTTCGGCACTTGGATCATAGTCGTTTAACCAAGCTGATTCGGACTTAGATCTACGCGTTTTGAATGCAGTGCTTTGCCGTGAACTACAGCTATTCATCGCCTTGCATAAGCTTACACATTAATCAGTTCCACGAACATGTTCGCTCTGTTGAAAACGGTCTACCTGCGAAATCTCCTGTCTCACAATTTCGAACTGCACGCCGGTTCCTCTTGATTGCTTAGACTCATCAGATAGTGTTTGTTACATTGTTCCCCCTTCCCTCCTTCTCCGTTTGTCTTAATCTGACTGATTAATGGGGGAAAACATAGCTATGCACTTTGACCCACCACCAACATAAAGATTGTCTAGATCCTCCGACATGATGAACTTCAGAGTAAATTACTACTCATTCATAAAGAGAGACATGGTGTCACGCATGGGTGATAAGGTTCTCAGGCTAAAAAATCAGGCCTCACTTCTCACGGCTTTTCGGCTTCTAAATGAACCTATTAAACTCCCCATGTTCCTTTATGACCGGTCACTAACGACCTCGGAAACAATTTCTCCATATTCGACCCTTATGGGCAGGCTTATACTCGGAAGCGCTGATATAACCAACAAAGTCTGTACAATCCCTTTCAGAGTCGAACTTATTAAGCTTCTTATCCGTCCCATCCTCGCATGTCGTTGTCACATCTACAGTCGCTTGGGGAAACGTGACAGAGAAACTCCGGAAAACACCGCAGGGCTTGGTTATCAAACATTTTTAAGTTAACAGTTTACAATCTATCGCAAACAACTTCAGCTCGGAACTCTTTAGCTATAATGGTTAAAGCATATCTTGTTGCGACTGGAAAATCTGCTTTAGCAAAAGCTTATTCCGGTGTATCCACGCCAGAACTGTTGTACCGCTCAACTCGAAAATTTCGCAACGTAGGTTGTACATTATTTGTACCAAACGACTTAGCGAGTATGCACTCTGCTTTCTTCCTAATCAGATTTATCTTCCTATGGAATCGGCTATTAGTTGCAAGCATGTTGTGTAAGAACGCAACCACATTTCATATTGAACACGAAAACCAAGGTATTGATTGGTTTATTGGATCGGGTACTTGGGTTGCGGACGTTTAGCCACTAGTCATGGTGGCATTTTCTACGTGAGATGGATCGCGAGTATAAGGACCCGTATGACGCCCTGTATGGTTTCCAGCGGGGTGCAATATGTTCTGTTTTTCCGACCAACAGTTCTGTAAATTTACTATCACATGAACTGGATAAAACGTTGGAGAAAGGGAATCCGAGGACTGCACGCCACCTGTCGTTGCCGACGCGATCACTAGCGATGGAACCATCGACCCTCGGACGCTCTCGGTCCGGGTTGGGCATGTAACATCCTGGTCCCATTACAAATAGAACAATGGTGTGTTTCGGGTAAAAAAGCAATGCTTAACAAGCCCCGTTTGATGGATATTATTACAAAAATAAAATTTCAAGATAAAATGAAAAAGTGTTTTGGTGGACTCAGCTTTGACTTACGTAGAATAGCGGGGAGGTTCGTGTATTAAAAGTATAAACCTTCAGAAAGTCGCACATCGTTCCTCTGAGGAGATGAAGGTAGCGCATCACGGGGTATGTCGTACCAGTCTGTTAGAATCGCGAAACAGCCCAAACGAATTCCATCAACGACCGTTTGACTGATCAGCACTTTGTCTATGCAGGGCTCTAAGTCGCTCCATACACACCTTGGCCCGACAATGTGTCAGTCTTCTCCGGCACTATTCAGTTCTCTAGCTTAATCCATTGAACGAATCTGCGTTCTAATCGCTCATCCGTGGACACGTTGTTTTGCCGCCGTTCTCAGTTGCATTTTGTCACACAAACGTTTGTTCACACTCATTCGACCCAGATTCATCAGCGCTATCTAGTGCACTCCATCTTTCGGATCTAGCTTGTATGGATCGCCTCTTATCTCCACCTCGCGGGTTTTGCGCCATTCCCGAAAAGCACAACCGAGGAATTTTCCGAATCACGAACCACACAGCAATATTTGTGGGCTCAAACGAAAGCCAATTATATGTTTCATCAGACGAATCAGCAAATACACCTGTGGACCGATCATCAAAGTAGCTATCGTACACTTTGTGTCCGTATCGCTCATTCGTCTTGTTTGCCGCATGAACGATCTGGCCGTTTAAACCTTCCTCGCCTGGGCCAGACGCAAAAATCGTGACGACCTTGAACATGCGGACAATACAGCGCACACGCGACCGGCGGGAAACCATAAGCGCTCGGGCCTCTATGGGAATACCATCGATCGACTCAATGGATTGTGACGACTAATCAAAAGCCTATGTTGCCGCATTCAGATCGACAATAGTTTGTGGCCCTCCTTCAAGCCATAAAAATGTACGGATTGGAATCCGGTGTAGCAGTTGCCAAGGGAAGTTCCATCGCAAATGTTCCAACCTCACAGTGTACTAGTTGAAGCTACACAACAGTAAACCAGATTCACTGTGGTTCTGTTCAGTATGTATGATCATCCTGCTTTTAAAGATTGTACATGAACTATCGCAGAAGTACAAAAGACTGATGACAATGTTTGAACAAACGAGAAGCACCAAAAGTGATTCATTTGTAGAAAGCGTGACAGAGAGTAAATCCCAGTCATTCCCATCAGACCCCGCATTAAAACTGAGGAAGAAGGCTAGGCGGCCCGCTAAAAATACATCTGTGGCATTAAACGCCAGTACCACCAGTTGCTCAAATATGCCTGATACAACTACCGCCAGTCCGATTGCGATGAGCACGGTCAGAGCCTCGTCCACCCTCCAACCGGTTCCAAAAATCCAGAAGGGCTTCGACATCAGTAGTGATTGGAGCTTAGTTGCTGCCAAAACTGACCGAAAATCTAGATCTTCGGTCACTCCCACTGAACCCATAGTAAATGAAGACGACGAAGCTGTACCCAAACAGCCTCTATCGACTGTATACCGACCAGCTGGTCGCTTCACCACAACCAGGGTTGCACGTAGTATGCTAGCGGTAATCTGCACCAGCGTTCCAGAATCGATGTCAAATTCCTTGAACTAGTGGAACTCCATATGTGATACTGTAGGTGTTGTAACTAAGTCTGTAAATTTGACACGCGTTACCCGTCACCCAAACTCAGCACTATAGTGAACCAAGATTTCGAGTTGTGCTGACTTCTGCTAATGAAGCACAAGCTGTCCTGTCCTCGACAGCTTGCTTCCGGAATGCGTCATGTTCCGTCCGTCTATTTCCCGATATTCCGTGGAGCGAGCGTAGACAGACAAAGCATTACTTTGACGAAAACCAGAAGGAATCCGTAGCCAGGACCAATCTTGTACACGGTGTTCCCGAGGCTGGAAGTCATAATGAGCTCGAAGCGACCACTCACGACCTGGAACAATGGCGGTACATTCACGAAACTCTCTCCCTGGAAGATGTCATAGCACAATCAATCTCGAGGTTGCGGCGATTGCCAAACTATAAGGGATCGTGAAAGTGGTTCTTCAATCTAGACAAATGTCAGCAATAGTAGTGGACGGATGGTATGCGGGCCGCAGCAGTCTTCTTTCCGAGCTCCGGATCAATGCAACATCTGCTAAGCGAACACACGAGAGCAGCCATTTAGTCAGACCACTTACCGACAAGAGTTCGGGTAACTGCAATTAACTAGTCAACAAAACTGGTAAACGCACCCCATACATTGCATACAAAGAGAGAAGCAAAGAGGTAATGGCAGGATCCATGAATCAGACGCATATGAGTTCGTCATCCCCCACCTAAAACGATTAGTTGCCGACCTTTCACCGGCCGGCACGACATTTCATCCAAAACACGTATCCCACAATTCATTGCTAAAAACAGAGGAATTTTCCTGCATGTACACCAATGCACAAAGTCTCCTGAACAAGCTTACCGAACTACCTGGGACCTCATACTCCTTACGAAAGCCTGGTTGCACTCAGAAATTACTAACGCCGAAGTTGCGATACATATTATGTCCCTTCTCCGAAATGATCACCCTAGCAAGGGCCGGAGGTGATGGTATACTGTCGCAGCAACATGCAGTGCGAACCGGTGGCCGATCCGGAAACGCTGATCATAGACACTCTGATGCAGTCTGCAACTGAGACGCAACGACACTTGTCTTTTGGTCGTTGTTTATCGTCCCCCAATGCCCACCTCAGAAATGCACACTCACTTGGCATTACCTTTTGGAAGGGTCCTACGAGGACGATACAGTCATGTTCTCATCTCAGGCGACTTCACTATTCATGATTAGGAAGTTCCGGCATCTCCCAACGAGCACCTTAAGGCCGACGTCCAAGAGTATATTGCAAGCATTCCGCTCTTCAGCCATGTTAGCTCACACCCGATTCAGAGCTGTAACTAAACTATATGTGCTTGATTTAGTGCTCACGAACAAAGAGCTCATGGTTGAGAAACCAAGGCTGGAGAGCCCTCGGGCGGAGCGACCACGTAACCATAATTTACTACTTCGTGTGTTCTGCGGATTATCCACAAGAACATACTAACTTGTTTCGAACAACTACCCACTACGACCTACTGGCAGAACTTGTGGGGATGCCAGCTGGGAGTTTCCGGACGACTGTTTCATTGACAGTGCTTTGTTGGATTTTACTGGCAAGTTCAGTGATCTGATTAAATCTGCATCGATCAAAAAGTCCCTTCCTTCTGCAAGGGCAAAATCATTCATTCGGAGGAGAAACCAAAAGCACATCACAGTATGAGATGCTGCGTGACATGTGTATAGAGCGAACCCTAGCCCTGATAAATAGAGTAACTATGTTGTGCATCGTAATCACTGTACCACACTTGTGGGCGAGGACAAATTAGTACACCAGCAGAGTCTAGCAGAAAAGTTCTGTGTTAACAATAAGCTTCTGTACAGACATGTGAACAGCCTCTGGGATGTGAAATGTGGTGTTCCCCCACTAATATTCGAGGATGGATATGCTCAGATCGCCGAGGATGCAGCCAACGTTCTGCGGCTACAACAGGCCCAAATTTTCCGACGTGCTACCAGCATTCGTAACATACCTGTCCTATTCTCCCAGATGCCATCATTTACACACGTCACGTTTAGTTCAGCGACCATTTCGTGGAAACTGCTGTCGTTGCGCACCCGTAGTTTCACCGGAATCGACAATATTCCCCCGGAAGCACTGCAGGTGGTAACTACGAGAATAGCTGAGCCACTAACGAGATTTTTTCATAGATGCCTGGATGATCAGCAGGTCCCTAACATGTGGAAGCAAGGCATCATTACCCCGATTTTCAAAAGTAGTAGCCGTTCAGAGCCAGCCAACTATCGCCCAGTGACTCTCCTCCCGGTGCCATCTAAAGTGATGGAATCGATTATAGCTGAGGCTGTAATGGGCTACTTGGAAAGGTCTAACATCATGGGACCAGAGCAACAACGATTCCGTCAGCATCGGTCATGTACTACCAACCTACTGCTTGCCCGTGTCAGTTGGACCAAAATAGCCTGCAGTGGGACCGGCACTGATGTCATCTACTTAGACTTTTCCAAGGCATTCGATCGCATACATCACCGCATCCTTCTCCTTGGATGAATCGGAAACTTCCCCTTTCAGCGGCGCCTTCAGGTTCGACTTCGGGGCTGATTTTCCGATCCAATTGTTGTGGACTGCGATGTTCCACAAGGGTCGGTGTTCGGTCCGCGGTTATTCTTGTTCTTCATTCACGACCTTGCGAGTGTCATCAAGTCCAATTTCCTGCTTTTTGCGCATGACATAAGATATGGCGGCAATCGACTGTCAGGAAGATCACAATATGTTGCAACGACACTTAGACTGCACTTTTGAATGGTCATTGCTAAATCTACTTCTGTTTAACACGGACAAGTGTAAAACCGTGCATGTCCGCCACCTACTCATGTATGCATATATGCTTGGAGACGATATGCTGAACACGGCCTCACAAGAGCGAGATCTTGGGGTGGTAGTTCAAGACGACCTCGGCTATTCGGCGCAGTCCTTGAAGGCGTCCAAAACTGCGAATCAACCTGTTGGTCTGTTACGGAGGACGTTCGGGAGGTTCGATCCCTCCATCTTCCTCCAAATGCTCAATGCGTATGTGAGGCACCAAGTAGAGTACGCGATTCAGGCTTGGCAACCCTGGTTAAAACGCGACCTGGTTGCACTGGAGACCGCATAGCGACGGGCAACAAATACTGTGAAGAGTTTGTCCCATCTGCAATACCATAGCCGACTTAAAGTCCTGGGGGTGTACAGGGGAAGATATCGCCGTCTGCGGGGTGACCTCATCCTGGCGTTCCAGGTTTTGAAAATCACCGATCATGCTTACCGCTACCTCCTGAAGCTTAGCTGCAATATATAATTGAGGGGTCATAAATTGAAACTTGCCACCCAATACAGTCGGCTGAAATGCCGCCGGAATTACTTCTCCCTTCGAGTTTATCAATCCAGGAACGCCCTTTCGACTTCTGTCATTTCCGCACTCATGCTACCCATCTTTTAAAAACGACTCGACGATGCTTTACACTATTTACATCACTTGATCTGATTTCTACTCATTGAGTGGCGACAAGACGCAGACTAACATTGTGCTCACCAACCTCACGAAATCGGGTTAGACGAATATACCTATGTGTTAACGTGGATAATATAGCCAGTCCACCAATGTGTTTTTCACTTTTATGTAACTTCATTGGACTAACCTTAATCCCACAAGTCATCCCATGGGGCTCGTTATGCTTTTGTTTTTTTTCTCCGGATTATACCATTGTTCTTTTGCATCGCTCCGCACTTGACTCAATCTAATGTCTACAACCTTTGTGCTGAACAAACCTGTGCACTGTGACGGATCATTTTTCGCAAAAGCACACCGGATGAACTCACCGCTGTGACCCGTCCGTTCTGCTCCAAGCAGCATGGCTTTGTAACTGCTGAGGTTACTGTCAGGACGGAGTACTACAAACTTGGTCGGGCCAATCTTACATTTGATCCGGGAATAAGTTCTGCTTGAAGTGGACTGTTCATTAGCTCACATAAGGATATACCCGATCCCATTTGGTCGCAAACACGTCTCACATCAAAGCGAAGGGCAACTGCAGCTTGTATCATAAGGTCGGCACGATTAATAACCTGGGATCGGCAGCCATCGTCAGATACATGTATGGTCAGCATACCATCAACGAGAGCCTACTTTAACCATCACCAATTGAAGTAGGAAAGTCATAGTCACTACGCCATAGTTTAGTAGCTCCGCTTGTCCCAATCTCATGAACTATTCAGTGTGGTGTTTCTTATTGCGAAGTTTCCGAGTACTTTTCCACCTGTATGAAGCTCTCCATTTGATGACCCATTTAATTGCTGCATCTTATATTGTGTAGAACCCATCTCTGATCTTTTTCTTTCTTTCCAGTGGCCGCTACTAGACATGTTAGGATACCGGAGCCTCCGCCTTCATTTCCTCGGACGTCCAGAGGTCGCATTGTGCGACCTCCCAAACGCGATGAACACATTGTCATCTTTTCGGACACTGACGTATCTGACTCAGATGAGCATTCACGAATCGCAAAGGTCACACGGCGCACCACAACAGCTCAAACCGTTACAACTAGATCGGCCTGCTTTGTTTATGAATCTTTAGTTGGCTCCAGCAACTTGGGCTCACGTCGGAGCAAGCGCAGGCGACGAGTGCTCTGAGTATTTGTCACGTAACCACCTGGATCGGCCGCGCTCCTTTTTTCTGACCCAGCTCACCTTCCCTTAATGTAAAGACGCACTTTTAGACTTTGCAATTTACAAGGTGTTCTGCTTTTGGAACTGGCGTAACGCATTGGCTATCCCCATGTCTTTGTTTTCGTTTTCTTTTTCTACCACAAATGTAGCAATTTTTGCATTCCTTGTATGTACAGCAAGCAATCCTCTTCTCAATGCGTCATCATTATTCACATAATATATTGACCTAGGTTTGCCTTTTTTGTCACCCAATATACTCGGTCATTATTTGGTGGTTTTAGGCTGTTTTACCATCCGCATTACGCACATGGAACCCTTTCAAATCTGCTGATTTGATGACTCCGTATGCTTTTTGTCCATCTGGTGGCTCCAGTGTGTTGCCTAACTCGTTGACAATTTACGCTGGAAGGACACTTATCACAGGGGTGCTATGTCAGCTCCAACTTCACACCGGTGATAGTTACTAAAGCTCTTACCTATCCAAACCCTATTCTCACTCTGTAATTGGAGCAGCCAACCGAAAGTAATTGTACTTTTGAAATTGGTTGACTCCCACTACATTACTTCGAATGCGAAGAACCCTGCAAAACGCGGGGAAACTATCTGCGTTCTGCAGAATGCTGAAGTTTAACGACTGACAGTACACGCATTAGAATGACGCGGGCACCGCCGCAGCCAGCCCGAAACATCGGCGATGCGTTAACAACTTCGCGATAGATAAATGAATAGAGTAACTTCAAAATCCTTGCTCACAAGTGCTCAAATCATTTGTTTTAATAGCTTCTAAATACCGTCGTTTATGGCTGCTGTTGCGCGAAGTCGTGGCTCTGGGAGCCATCCATGTCTTCTGCACTGTTCTAACGTACAAAGAAGGAACGATGAGGAGTTGCCCTATGTCACAGGCAGCATGTAAGCCATGGCGCTTTTCTGCCGTGACCCAGTGGTATAAGCTGTTGGCAAGTGCACAACTTCCGAGAGGTCATTAGCTCGTTTCTTGTTGGAGCCGGGGAATGCACCTCACTTATGGTTCCCAGTAGGGCGAAACGGCCTTCAGGTGTTTTTCCAGACGCCTGCTAGGCCATCTGGCTTTAGAGCTACTGCGATGAACCCTCATGAGTAGATAAATAAAAACCACAACGGGCGCACAGGAAAGTTTGTTCATGCACCTCAAGGGTCTCACACAGCGATGGCGACACCAGGCTATGGGAGCTTATGCGGCATGCACATGTGTGAGAAGAGCTGTCTGACATAAACGGATCGAGTCTTACGAACACCGTTACTGGACGAAAATTTCTCTTTACACACAAACTATTGGCATGGAGATTTTGGGGCGAGGTAGTTTTCTCGCTGCGTCCTTTAAATAAGGCTGGCATTACAAAGGAACATTAGGATTAAGTGGTGTAAGTAGGTGTAGTCGCAAATGGATTCACTGAAATAGCCATCAACGTCCGGAGACAGCGGTAGTATTGTCCTTTGTGGACTAGGCATGAGTGCCTCGTACGTAGCTGCGATGGCGACCCTGCTGTAACGAGTGAGTGGTTAAGAGCACGACTGTGGGGAGCAGCTACGACTGACATGACTAGTCGGTTCTACTACGATGCGGTTGTTTCGTATGTTACCCTTGTGCAGTGGACGTAATATCCCTCTCGGGAAACGGCTTTCCTAAGTTCACCGTATGTGCTCCGCCCACACTGTTTGTTGTTCCGTAAGATAACTCGCAGCCAACGGTTGGGCGATGTTCGCATAAAGTTCTATGTGAGGGTGTTAGTTGCTTTTGTCCACTTGTATGTATCTCTTCATTATCTCGTACAGTGCTAAATCTATACTATTCTAGTCGCCAGTTTGTCTCCTATCTCTCAGCAGCGACGGGGGATGGTCACTTGGTCCAGACGCATCGCTCTGCATCGGTGCACATGATTACTAAGGTCTGTGCGTGCGGAACAAATGCAGAGTTTGCGAGTACAACAATGGCCCGTGGCCAAAACGACGCAAAGGAAATAGAACACGCAGAGCTGATAGCATGTCCCGTTTATTGTGACAAGAACCATGCACAGCACGTCGATCATGTAGTTGTGAACAACTCGCCAATGAGTGGTAGATAGACTTTCACGCGCATTCATGTGGACAGTCGTTGATTGATGTGTGAACATTTGACCGGTGGTGATGCATCGTACACCACGTGGATTCACATCGAATATTTTCGAAGTAAACGTGACGCCAAAATTCCACGCAGGTTCGGACGACTCTGCGATTGCTTATGTCATTACAGGTCTACTGGTCTGTCCTTCGAAATCTGCCTGGTCAGATGGAAATTGTGTGTTGCTCGCCCGGAAACACTGTCTGGTCAGAGTTTTCGAAATGAACCCGCTTCTCAGTTATCGTATCGTTGATTGGGGAGGGGATTCTTAGACCACTATTGTGGCGCATCACTCGGTTGTCCTCACTTGCTCCGATCTTCCTCACATCACTGACCCTCGTCAATCTTCAATGCTCCAGGCCGTTTGATGCGGTACGGGCGAACACTCATTACGAAATGAGACCAGCATATGTGCTTCAATCGGGTTAGTTGACGCATCGGAAATTCATCCATATCTGGGACGGGCAAGCGTCCTGTAAAGTCTTTACCGTACGCATGAGACGACTCAAACCAGCATAAAGCCTTACCACTTCGTTCGTTGGTGACATCTGACGGGACAGTTTTTCTTGTGACTTCCAGGTGAATGACTATCCCCACCATGATGTCATTCCCTGCTCAGAAAAAGGAACAACAATGGGTATGAAGATTTTCAGGCTGTCTGGTCATACAACCGCCACGCATCCAAAAGCCACTGGACCAGGGGATTCTTAAACTTTTCGTGGCTGGTACCCACAAAGGGGACTTACTATAATCAATTACCCCCTCCCCCAAACACATTTCCATTTCAAATATATATACTTGTCGCGCTTTTTGCTTTTAACTACGGAAATTGATAGCCATTTGTAATCACCTTTATCATTCAACGAAACAAAACAGCTGTTTTCGTGCAACTTTTATGTAATTCAAGTGGCCATATACGTCAATGGGACGATTGCTATTGCTTAGTTCTAACAATTTCTGGTATCTTTGGTGCAGTTTTGACAAACGCACAGTTTAATTCGTGCTTCAAGTTCATTCAATTCCTTGCTTTTGTTCTCATTGTCACCATTGTCTAATATCCACTTTCACACTTATGTTGTTCCGAATGAGATAGCAATGGACACTCACCACCTATTTTTTCCTAAATGCTGCTTGTTATTGTCACGTATGCAGTTGAGTATTGATTCATGAACACAGACGCTGATGTGATTGGTCGATGATGACCTTGCCTTACGTTCCTTTTTTCGTTTCGGCCTTTCTAGCCACTGTAACGTAGGTAGCTTTCACCGAAACATTTCGATACTACGCCTGCGCTTCTTGTTCCATCTGTCGGCTAAATCCATAGTAAACATTCTGGTGACGAGATTAAATGTCCATAAAAAGTTAGCAGCTTTTTCCCCTCAATCTCATACAGACACAGTACAAACAATCGACCGAAAAGTGTTACCCCGAGACGGTCCGCCTTGCCTTTTACTTGTTACCGATGTGGAAAGCAGCATTTATCAGCCGAGGAATGTCGTCATAAAAACAGAGTATCTGCCGCCAATGTGGACAATTAGGGCACTTGGCCCGAGTTTGCCGATCTAAAGCCTGCACAACTGCGACATCTTGTTTTCCCAAGATGCCCGTGAAGGTCGTCCAGTCTTCCGACGAAGATGACCAGCTAAACACGATTTGGTACACAACGTCGAGCATCTGTAGCATTTACCCACTCTACATTGTGCAATTGTAACTGGAGGACCAGTTGGTTAAAATGCAAGTTGATACCGATGCTTCAGTTACCATAATCAGTGCTGCATCAGTTAAAAGGTTAGCGAAGTTATCTCACTGTGAGTCAACTTTGCGGACGTACACCGGGCAGCTGCTACCAATCATTGGACAATGCATTGTTCATGCTAATCATGGGGAGAAACGGACCTTACAGGCATATGTTGTGGCGAATGATTGTCCAAACTTACTCGGGTGCGACTGGATTAAATTTCTTCCGATTACGCTAGAGACGGTGTAGTTCATGTCTATTAGCCAGCGCTTGGAGGATGGTCAAGAATTGTTGAGCATTGTTTATGGAGTGTTGCGATTTACTGATTAGGTGCTCGAGGCGCCTCCATAGTTCCTTTGCCAGATAGTAGGTGGGGCGTGCCTAGAAGTGACACAATTTGTCTTAAGGGTGCTCCATCCTTGTGTACTTTAGGTAGTCCATAGAATTGTGCAATGTTCGAGTCGCGAGCCCTCATTTTTTCTCGTTCCTCTTCCGATGTTTCCTTTGCCTGCTTAAGCTTCGCCAACACTGCTTATTTTGTTGGTCAGTTGCGATGCTGAGTCATTCTCAATGCATTGGTAGGTTGTAGTATCGTTCAGGAGCTGCTTCGCTTTCTCGGTGTACTCTGCTTTGTCCATAATTACTGTCATCCGTCCTTTATCAGCAGGTAGAATAACAATTGATTCGTCTGACTTCAGAGCTTTTATTCCTTCTTTCTCTTGTCGGGATAGAGGGCTGCATTGCTTTAAATGCGTCATGGCTGGGACGACTGTGTATCTGATTTGTTTCTAGTCCGTTGGACTGCAAAGCGCTTTCAAATCGTGCCAGGAAATCCGTAGTTGTCGCGTCTTTGTAGTTATTATTTAGGTCTTTGATGAGAATTTGTTGTTCCGTACCACTGAGTGGCCGTTTTGACAGGTTCCTGATCCAACCATTGTTGGTGCATTCGTCTGTGCTGGTTGTCAGTTTGGTCAACTTCTGTTTTCTAACAGCTGCTGCTACCTAACTGCTGCCAATCCCGCACTGAAGATACCACCTCGAGTGGTTGCGAAACGTCTGCAACCAAGTTACCCAGCTCGGAGAACTCCACAACAACTGGGGAAGAGGGCCATCGACCACTTCCTTACGTCCGAAGAGAATGGACTAGGATACTGGCAGGACGCCTACACCTGACAGGAGAACAACTCGGGTCCTCAACCAAAGCCTTCGATTAAATGTACACCCGAAAGGCAGCGGGTCTAGCACATGGTCAGTTCACTGACTCATGCGGATTGGTGTCCTGGATCTTAGCAGGGAGAAGGGCGTAACCCAACTCGCACCCAGCGGTCGCCACGAGGAGGCGTTCAGGACATGATCCCATGGTACAACAGTAGCAGCAATGGGTAGAACATCTGCCAGGATCTAGCCACCGCAAGCCTCAGCG